CTCCACCCCCTTCCAAGGCAGGGAGCCCCCCTAGTGCTTGTTTATTTCACACATTTCTTTTATTTATACTTTACAGTCAATGGGAACGATGCGGTAAAATAAGGGTGCCCTAGAGGACCAAAATGCGCCGATGCAACTCAAAACCGTGGGCAGGAGCGGGGTTGGTGTGCAGAGGCACCTCGAAGCGTAAAATCTCGAAGACCCTGCTTTCTCTGCTGACGGCGGTGACCACAGGGGATGCGGGCAGCTCGGCCTGCAGTGGGTCCGGGTCCACGTCCGTGTGAGCCAGTGTGCACCTCTGGAAATGTTCCTTTCACACGGAAACTCTGCTAACGGGGCATTTTCCTCTTACATCTAAAAACCGGAGACATCTAACTATTCAAATTCCTAAAGGTTAAAAAAATGTTGTCAAAAGTAACGTAAAAGAACGATTGCAGACTCGGCGGGTGTCGCTGCCTTGTCCCATGGTGGAAGCTGCAGCCCGGCTAGGCCTTCCTGACCACCGTGGCCTGGCCCCTCCGTCTGACCACCTCCCCACTTCCCTTCCCGGCTCTCCACGGGCAGTCCGAGCTGGTTCCAGGCGGCGTGTGTCCAATGACTGCGCCTGCTTCCAAAGCAGTGGGGCTCAGTTCCAGGGGGGCCAAGTCTCAGGGGGCCCCCCACACTGATGAGACTTGGGGGGCTTCTCCTCCATTTTTTTTTGTACTGGCTGCCACAGTGCGTGTCAGGACGGGGAGCCCGCCCCTGCTTCCCCAGCAACAGCTCAGAGAACAGTCTGAGGACGAAGGACACAAGCCACGTCATCACGGAGGTTCCGGGTGGCCGCCACTGCTGCCACCTCCCTGGGGGACTGCGGGAGCCCTGGAATGGGAGACAAGAAGCAAGTGAGCTGGGCCTCTCAGGGTGCCGGCCGGGTCTTCTCAGGCCCGAGACTGCTTTGGGAAGGGCGAACCCCCCATGCTGAGGCCTGGCGGTGGGCGAACCCCCCACGCTGAGGCCTGGCGGTGGTTCCCGTTCACCCACCGGGGCTCATCCAACCAGGATGCCTGCAGGGCAAAGAAGCCAGAGCGTGGCGATGTCGGGAGACCAGCAAGGCAGGGGGTAGGTCAGCAGAGAGCCAGGAAGGAGAGGAAGGGGGCGGGTTGAGGTTCCCTCCCAAGGAGGGGTGGCAGAGAGGACAGAGAGAACCAGGAAGGGACCTGGGAAGAAGAGGCCAGCGAGGAGGTGGTGGCTCAGTTATGGCTCCCTGTGGGAGGAAGCCAAGGAAAGGGAACCGCTGCTTGGTGTAGGCTGGAGAGCCAGCTGCGAACACTTATCCCCAGGCCAGGCCCAGGTGGTGGGGACCGAGCAGCTGGGAACACTTATCCCCAGGCCAGGCCCAGGTGGTGGGGACTGAGCAGCTGGGAACACTTACCACCCGCAGGCCAGGCCCAGGTGGTGGGGATGGAGCAGCTGGCCGGGCAGTCTGCCCTGGGCTGGGCTCGATGACCTAAGAGGAAACAGAAAGAGACAGAGTAGCAGTGCACACAGGCGGCCTGAGCCTAGGTAGCCCAAGCAGCGCCTGCCGCTCAGACAGACTGGGCGTCTTTATTTATAGCGCAAAGCGCCACTAGATAGGTGTATTCACGACATTCCACAGATACGCTGGGTGTTACAGACAATACAGGTAACTAATCCATACGGGGGCTTAGGCTCACTGGGCCGGGTGTATCCCTCGGCCATAACCGCATCAAGGAGAAATCCCATTCATCCTATCTAGTGGAGAGAAGCCGCTGCAGGTGTGGG